AGATGACTTCTGCAAATTGTTGGATGTCACAAAAGAATTATTATTTTAATTTTCCTTTCTTGGACAACGCACTTGGACATACAGCCTATACAAATAGGGATGTGTGCTGTAATGTTATTTACATAATACAATATAGGGCAAATTACATATACCCCTCGAGGTTTGGTTAAATTACAGATACCCCTTGAAGTTTGAGAAATTACGAATTCCCCCTCTGAATGCTATATTTGCATAAGAAATTAGAGGGTAATTTGTTATGAAATATAAACCTCAGGGGCAAATTATTATGAAAATACAAACCTCAGGGGGCGGGATGTAATTTTCGAAACCTCAGGGAGGTATCTGTAATTTAGCCAAACCTCGAGGGGTATATGTAATGTAATGTTATTTACCTACAATAATATATTTAAAAATTAAGCTATAACGGTCAAATTTTATTACTTTTAGAGAATTCTAATACACGCACATATTTGTAAACAATATACTTGTGTCATGTAATATTATGTAAATAATATTTACGTTAATATACATAAAAATTTCATAAATATGGGATATGGATTGTACTTTGTGTATTTTAATAAATTTTTTTTATGAAACATCACATTTTACGTTAAAAATAAAAAAAAAAATTTAAAAATTTATTGGTAACGTTTACGCTTTCAGTTTATATTTATAAAAATTTTATAAACTGTTTTTGTTTATTTTTAGAAAAACATAAACTACAAACGCGTTTGATAATTGACAAAATGTTTAAAAAAATTTAAAAATGGGAAAAAGAGTGACAAATAGCAAGTGGTGGCAAGTAGCGGCAGAAGACGGTAGTAGAAAGTGGTGACGGTGGGTGGTGGGTGGTGGTGGCGGGTGGGTGGTGGTGGTGGTGGTTGGGTGGGTGATGGTGGCGGGTGGTGGTGGTGGTGGTGGTGGTGGTAGGTGGTTGCGGCATGAGGTGTCGTTACCGGATGAAATTTCAGCGCAGGAGGAAGGGATTGATTAGTCCAATGTGGCCGAACTAGTTGATTAATAGGCCATAGGCGCTTGGCCTGTGAAATGGGTGGAGCCTTGCGGGAATGAAATCCAAGCCTAAGTTGCTACGGTGGCGGGTGGTAGGTGGTAGCGAGTGGGTGGTGGTGGTGGGTGGTAGGTGGTGGTCGCAGGTGGGTAGCGGGTGGTAAGTGGTAGCAAGTGGGTGGTGGTGGTAGTGGGTAATGGGTGGTGGTGGCAGGTGGGTGGCGAGTGGGTAGTGGGTGATGGTGGTGGTGGTGGCAGGGGCAGGTGGCTAGTGGTGGCAGGTGGGTAGTGAGTGGTGGTGGCAAGTAAGTGGCGGGTGGTGGTGGCGGGCGGTGAATGGTAGTGGCAGGTGGCGGGTGGATGACAGGTGGGTGGTGGTGGTGGTGGTGGCGAGGGCTGGCTGGTGGTGGCGAGTGGGTGGCAGGTGGGTGGCGGTGGCGGGTGGTGGCTGGTGGTAGCAGGTGGGTGGTGAGTGGTGGTGGCGGAAGACGGTGGTGGAAAATGGTGGCGAGTGGTGGCTAATGTTGGGTGATAAAAAAAAAAAATTGAAAACTCAAAATGGAAACACATTTTTTGTGTTTTCATTTTTTGGCCAAATTTATAAACTGAAACCATTGATTTATAAATCAAAAATTTTACCAAACAAGTTTTTATTTGAATTTTTTAAATTTTTGTAAATATAAACTGAAAACTGAAAACGTAAGTGTTACCAAACGGCATCTTAGTATTTTCTTTTTCAGTCATAGATTTAGGGCTATATAAACTGATGACCTCTTTGTAAATTGACATAAGTCTCGTTTAAGAACAGACTATTTTAGTAACTTTTTGATTAAAATATAAGGAAAAAAAAAAACTTAGTTGTTGGGAATAAATTTTTTAATTTTTTATAAACAGACGTGAAATAAAATAAAATAAATAATAAGAAGTGGGTAAAATGACCGAAATGGCCTTATAGCATTTCAGAAGTACCTGTGGCTGCGTCAGATGACTTCTGCAAATTGTTGGATGTCACATAAGAATTATTATTTTAATTTTCCTTTCTTGGACAACGCACTTGGACATACAGCCTATACAAATAGGGTTGTGTGCTGTAATGTTATTTACATAATACAATATATTTAAAAATTAAGCTGTAACGGTCAAATTTTATTTCTTTTAGAGAATTCTAATACACGCACATATTTGTAAACAATATACTTGTGTCATGTAATATTATGTAAATAATATTTACGTTAATATACATAAAAATTTCAAAAATATGGTATATGGATTGTACTTTGTGTATTGTAATAATTTTTTTTTTTTTATGAAACATCACATTTTACGTTAAAAATAAAAAAAAAAATTTAAAATTTTGTTGGTAACGTTTACGTTTTCAGTTTATATTTACAAAAATTTTATAAACTGTTTTTGTTTATTTTTTGTTTATTTTTAGAAAAACATAAATTACAAACGCGTTTAATAATTGACAAAATATTTAAAAAAATTAAAAAATGAAAAAAAGAGTGAGAAATAGCAAGTGGTGGCAAGTGGCGGCGGAAGACGGTGGTAGAAAGTGGTGATGGTGGGTGGTGGGTGGTGGCGGGCGGGTGGTGGTGGTGGCTTGTGGGTCCCCCCCCCCCCCCCCCCCCCCCCCCCCCCCCCCCCCCCCCCCCCCCCCCCCCCCCCCCCCCCCCCCCCCCCCCCCCCCCCCCCCCCCCCCCCCCCCCCCCCCCCCCCCCCCCCCCCCCCCCCCCCCCCCCCCCCCCCCCCCCCCCCCCCCCCCCCCCCCCCCCCCCCCCCCCCCCCCCCCCCCCCCCCCCCCCCCCCCCCCCCCCCCCCCCCCCCCCCCCCCCCCCCCCCCCCCCCCCCCCCCCCCCCCCCCCCCCCCCCCCCCCCCCCCCCCCCCCCCCCCCCCCCCCCCCCCCCCCCCCCCCCCCCCCCCCCCCCCCCCCCCCCCCCCCCCCCCCCCCCCCCCCCCCCCCCCCCCCCCCCCCCCCCCCCCCCCCCCCCCCCCCCCCCCCCCCCCCCCCCCCCCCCCCCCCCCCCCCCCCCCCCCCCCCCCCCCCCCCCCCCCCCCCCCCCCCCCCCCCCCCCCCCCCCCCCCCCCCCCCCCCCCCCCCCCCCCCCCCCCCCCCCCCCCCCCCCCCCCCCCCCCCCCCCCCCCCCCCCCCCCCCCCCCCCCCCCCCCCCCCCCCCCCCCCCCCCCCCCCCCCCCCCCCCCCCCCCCCCCCCCCCCCCCCCCCCCCCCCCCCCCCCCCCCCCCCCCCCCCCCCCCCCCCCCCCCCCCCCCCCCCCCCCCCCCCCCCCCCCCCCCCCCCCCCCCCCCCCCCCCCCCCCCCCCCCCCCCCCCCCCCCCCCCCCCCCCCCCCCCCCCCCCCCCCCCCCCCCCCCCCCCCCCCCCCCCCCCCCCCCCCCCCCCCCCCCCCCCCCCCCCCCCCCCCCCCCCCCCCCCCCCCCCCCCCCCCCCCCCCCCCCCCCCCCCCCCCCCCCCCCCCCCCCCCCCCCCCCCCCCCCCCCCCCCCCCCCCCCCCCCCCCCCCCCCCCCCCCCCCCCCCCCCCCCCCCCCCCCCCCCCCCCCCCCCCCCCCCCCCCCCCCCCCCCCCCCCCCCCCCCCCCCCCCCCCCCCCCCCCCCCCCCCCCCCCCCCCCCCCCCCCCCCCCCCCCCCCCCCCCCCCCCCCCCCCCCCCCCCCCCCCCCCCCCCCCCCCCCCCCCCCCCCCCCCCCCCCCCCCCCCCCCCCCCCCCCCCCCCCCCCCCCCCCCCCCCCCCCCCCCCCCCCCCCCCCCCCCCCCCCCCCCCCCCCCCCCCCCCCCCCCCCCCCCCCCCCCCCCCCCCCCCCCCCCCCCCCCCCCCCCCCCCCCCCCCCCCCCCCCCCCCCCCCCCCCCCCCCCCCCCCCCCCCCCCCCCCCCCCCCCCCCCGCCCCCCCCCACCCCCCCCCCCCACCCCCCCCCCCCCTGCCACCACCATCCACCACCCGCCACCGCCACCACCCACCATCCGCCACTCACCTGCCACCACCATCCACCACCCGTCACTGCCCACCGTCACCTACCCACCACCACCGCCCACTCGCCACCACCCACCATGTACCCGCCACCGCCACCGCCACCACCACCCACTCGCTACCACCCACTGCCCGCCACCGTCACCCAACCACCCACCACTACTCGCTACCCACCGTCACTACCGTCTTCTACCGCCACTTGCCACCACTTGCAATTTCTCACTCTTTTTATATTTTTAAAATGTTGTAAACATTTTGTCAATTACCAAATGCGTTTGTAGTGAATATTTTTCTAAAAATAAACAAAAAATAGACAAAAACTAGTTTATAAAATTTTTGTAAATATAAACTGAAAGCGTAAGCGTTACCAAACAGACATCCATTCCAGTTTCAGTTTTTAGTTTATATTTAAAAAAAATTAACAAACTGTCATAAAAATTTGTTTGATAATTTTTTTGGTTCAAAATGAGTTTATAAATTTGAGAAAAAAACGTAAACTGAAAAAATGAGGAAACGTTTTCAGTTTTCAATTTTTTTTTCATATAATTTATTTTCAATTATTTTTTTTTTCAAGTAATGTTTTTCTCAAATAAATTTATTTTCAATTTTTTTTTCAATTAATTTTTTTTCCAATTAACCTTTTTTTCAAATATTTTTTTTCCCAACTAATATTTTTAAATTATTTTTTTAATTAATTTTTTCCATTTCTTTTTCAAATAAGTTTTCCGAATTAGTTTTTTTTCCAATTAAATTTTTTATTCAATTATTTTTTTAATTAATTTTTGGTCAATTATAATGTGTGTGATCCCATTGTCATAAATAATGAAAATAAATATAAAATTTTTTAGCCTGAACAAACATATTGTTTTAGTTTATATTTTTAAATATTTTGTTCAAACCAAACGCGTTTACAATTTATGTTTTTCTAAAAATAAACATAAACCAGTTTATAAAATAAAATGATAAACATGACCCAATAACGTAAACGTTACCCAAAAAAAATAAGTAATAATCAAACCATAATTGGTAAGCAACCTAAAATCATAACCAACCTAAAATCATAACCAAGTCAGTATTCCATAGTTATATAAAAACAGTGACATACATGGTCATACATAATTGCTAACCAATTATGTACGTGAATAAAAGTCTCCAATTAATTTCAAATAAATTTAGTGATGACATGCATCACATAACATGTCCATCTAACCAGCATTTCGCCAAATTGCAACTAACTCTGCCCTGATACGCGCCCGCAACTATGCCATCTCAACGTCATCATCGCCAGGCGTCATCGCATCATCAAGGGCAGCCAAATCGTCCCAGTTAGGCATGTCCGGATATCGATACTCGGCCGCATTGCTGACAGCAACAACAATCTTATCGTCCACACTATTTTTGCATATGAAATTATGCAAAGCCATGGACGCTGCAACCAATGGCACCTGCACTTTACGGAAATCAAATCGAGGCATGCCTTTTAGAAATCTCCACCGCATCTTCCAAGCGCCAAATGTACGCTCAATCACGCTTTACAAAGATGAGTGAGCGCGGTTGAACAATTCGTCACGGTTCCGTGGATTGTGCCTTTGAAATTCCGATTGGTGGTATCTGTTGCCTTTGTATGGTGCCAGAAAGCCCTTTTTATTGCTGTATCCACTATCCACAAGGTAATAGCGACCTGTGAAAGTGCACATGTAAATTACATAATACTCGTCATCAATGTTCACATGAAAGGGCACTTCTTCCGTACATTCCCTCCTCCTCCCCATAACCAACAATAAGAACATAACAATACTATTTCAAATAATATATCCAAAAATTACCCTATTTGTATTACACATGTATTTCACATAAAATTTTACAATTAATTCCGAGCAAAAGCGAAAACAAAATATTATGTGTAACTAGTTTATCATGGACATTGTAAAAACTGCCATATATAAATTACCACATGGTAAGATGAATCAAATTTAAAGTTCATTACAATGGTAGCATAAATTGATTTTATAATGGGAAAATAGTAATATATAATAAATTGATACATTTTGACATATATATTACTGAGGTTAATTGTATTTGCATATCAATAATGATGGATATTACCTTTATGTTGAGCTTGTTTGAGCAAATTTTCATGCATAAAAAATTTAAAAGATCACGCATTGAATTCTAAATATTAGTATTTTTATAAAATTTATTTACATACAGATGTTTACCAAAAAAGAACTATGCAAAATTGTATTGCGGATTCAGATGTACGTACCGTCAGTTACAGTTGGAAAATTGTATTGTGGATCCTCCGTTACGTTGCTTAAAACCCGACTGTCGTGCATACTGCCCTCCCACCCGCACGACACAAACACAAAGCACATATTGAAATCACATACCGCCAAAATATTCTGGGTGTGACACCCCTTTCGGTTGAAATATGGGGCTGCTTCTGACTCCTTTATGCATGCCGGTACATGTGCCCAGTCAATGCACCTAAGCAATCCTATATAAGAACCAAAAAAATTGCAATTATAAATCAATACCGACTATGTTTTTTCAAATAATTTTGAATAACATTACAAAATCTTTTCCCACACCTTGAACGGCATGTACTGTCGTTGAGATTGCAAAATAGGATCCCTGTGCGTCTGGAAATTAGCAGGGGGCCTGCAGTGAATGACAGTGAATTTTTTCATTGCTTTCAAGACGGTATGAAAATGCCGTGAAATAGTTTCACCGGAATGTTGGAAGCGTTCTTGTAACTCCCGGTTTGGCAAGTTTTTAAGCACATGAATAAATATTGTAGCACTCTCCTCGATGTGCAAACCGTGCGGCCGCTCGGGTACACGCAACTGGAAGTCATTTACCAACGTCATACATAACCGAATGAACACCTGTTTGGGCATGCACAATTCATACCGGAAGCGGCCACTGTGACCCTCATATAATTCCGTAATCCATGCCCTCCCCGAGAATATGGAAGTACGGCATGGGACTTTAAGGACGTACGCCTTGTAGTAGTCAGTTGCAATTCTGTAGGCTTCAACATAATTTAAATTCATCTCATGATGCCACTGTCTTGCGAGAGCTGCGACATCCTCTAACATTTGATCCATCTGTGCGGGGTCGTCATCGTCTTTGTTCATACCTACAACATACAAGCACAAAACATTATCAACAACTACCGAAATGAACAAGTATTAAGCACATGTATTTGACCATGAAATTTTTTAAAAAGAAAATAACGTTGTACAACAAAATTTGTAACTAGTGTAATTTTATGTTCAAACCCCTACCATGCATGGAATAAAGAACAACCTGAAAAAAATAAATTGATTTGTTACCTTTTCTAAAATTAAGCACATGTAATATTTTGTAATTTAAAATTCAAACCAACATGGGATTTTCCTAATTCACATCATGTCAGTGGTTCATCATTTGTGATAAAAATAATAATTTTTCAGTGTTGCAACACACATGTTCCACCCTGTATAAACAATTCATCCATGGAAAACCAATGGCACCTGGGCAAATTTGTAACTGATTTCAGAAAATTAAACACAACTCTGCAGCCATTATAGCATAACAAAACATAAAATATAAAATATAAAATGGATGGTCCAAGGTTTAATCCAACCCTGCAGCCACTATTGCATAACAAAACATAACATACCACAAACATATCCCGATTGTCCAGTTAAGGATCTGTAACCCACAGGCACGACCCTGCCCAAACCATCTTCAAACCACAATTCAACTAAAATTAAACACAACAAAGGAAAAAAAAAGTTCACAATTCAACTGAAATTAAAATCGAAGTCCATTCCGTAGATTTAAAATAGAACTCCTTCATTCCGCAGCAAACTCGCAAGAGTGACAACCCCATTCCTATCTTTGTCTTGTTTCTTCGCTTGTAGCCATCCGATTATGCCTCGGTCCGTGGGAATACTCATTACCATTTCCTGATTGTTCGGAACCTCCATAAGTATGACTCCAAAATGGAGCATCTTCAGGCTCTAGTCCCTGTATTTCATATAGCCGTCCAACAGCCTGTCCCATAGTAATACTATGGCCCCCGACGACGTGGTTGACAGTTAATTCCTTGCTCTGGGTCTTCACAGAATTTAGCAAGTCGTCCATGCTGCTTGCCAACGCTGCAGCCCCGGTAACGTGCTTGTTTTGGGCTGTTTTCCCCGAGGAATGCTTCCACTTACTTCCACTACCCGTGGCATTGATCTGTGCGGAGTTCATCATGGCTGCCATTTCCGATGCGCCTAATTCATTGCTGTCACTGGAAAATTCTGGACTGTCCGACTCTCTGTCCAACTCCATTGGGTTACAAGTCTTGCCGGGTGTCCATGCATTTTTCCCCGTAGCCGCAGCACCAGTGAAGACGCGCTCCATCAAATCCGGATGGTCCAAGGTTTTGGTTCTGAACTTGCAACATACATTGTCAATCTGTAAATCAACACAATGTAATTAGCGTACTGACATGAGTAAAATTGAATGCAACATGGTGCATAAGTCAGTTCAGTTTTTAAAACCTGAAGAGAGGACTTGCTAAATTCAAAATGGACTTGTTCTATACCAACTATACATTCATTCAAACAACAGTGGAACAGAATATTGCACAGATACAGCTGGAACAGAACATTGCACAGATGCAGCTGGTTTGCAGGACATTATGCAATGCTGCTTGCTCCCAATCAATTTAGGATGCTGAGGGAATGACAAACAACAGTTGTTGTGTACAAGCAGAAGCTACAAATGTCAGTCTGTTCTGTTGGATCACTGTGTCATTAACATACTGCTACTAATGCTTACCAAGTCCAAACAATTATGCTTGCCAATGCTTCAAAATAGATGGACAAGAATTAATTCCTACTGCATATATATTTAAAGTTCAATCAATTGTTTGTTTCTTGTATATGTATTTATTATTTTTTAATAATATAGGACCTTGCTAATGACAGTCCTTTAGTGCTGTTAGATAAAGGGGGGAAGGGGAACTGAAAAATCTAGAAATCCTCTAGATGTTGATTTGTGATTATGTACCAATTTTAAGCAGAATATAACAATCCCAATCAAACAATCAAGACAAAAAGACACAACGATTTAACGTGGAAAAAACCACAATTGGACACCTCCAACTGTGATAAAAAAACCACGGGCAACAGCCACAAGAACAATCCACTAAGAAGATTTAAAGGAATTACACAGGTATACTCTCAATTACCTAGCGAATCCACAACGCCTAATTGAACCAACCTCTATGTGCCTCTTCCAACCCCATCTTCACCTCAGAATTGTCTTTACGATGAGCCACCTCGGAATCCACCAAAGCTTCAGGCTCGAATTCTTCAAAATCCACAACTGAAGAATAACTCTCTCTTTTGTGTATAACAAACAAACCTTTGATGTACTCTCTTTAAATCATGAGTTGAAGACTCAATAAAAACATCAAAGAAAACAAACAAAATATCCCCAGATATAAACCTTAAGAACCAAAAAGAAGATCTGGAGGACTTCAATCAATCACTTAGTTTTGGGAGAAAACCAAGTATTTATAGAGAACCAAAAGTAATCATAGATTGGGAAGAAAACAAACTCCTTGAGAAATCCGGATTCTGAGGCTCGCTCGAGCGAAGAT